AACGCTCCATCGAGGCGGCCGAGGTGGCGATCGCAAACGCCGCGAGCCTTAGTGGGCTGGGGCCCTGAGAAGCTGAGGCTGAGACATGGGTGGGGGGGGGTATGTCTGTCTGTCTGTGCATGCATGTGGCTACGGCTCTCTAGCAGCGAGCGAGCAGGCTCGTTCTCGGATGCTGGCCGGATGGGTGCTCGGAGGTTGCGGGAGGGCAAAGAAAGAAAACGGGTTTCGAATCTCTCTTTCTCGGGTCCGAGGGCCGCCTCAACTGGAGTAGGGAAATTTGGATTTTGGTCAAACGCCTGCTGGGGGCAGCTTCGCGGAAGTATTCCGGAAGCCAGATGATCCCCCAGCAGGCACACACACACGGAGGTGACAGGGGATGGTGGTGGGTTCAAGCTCTCTCTCTCCGCGTCACACGTCTGTCTCGCACCTCGCAGTCGCACATGGAGTGTGCGAGGTACTCGAACTCTGAGGTACCTCTGCCATCAACTCTGCGCATCAACTCTGCGCATCAACTCTGCGTACTCACTGCCTTGAACGACAGCTCAGACACTCGCTGGACGAGGTTTGCTCCTAGCGCGAGGCCTCGTCTGTCGCCATCCCAAACTGTCCCTGTCCCCTCTCTCGGGCGGGGGGGGGGGGGGGGGGTGCGGGATCTCTGTTAGCGACAGCTTTCTCTACAGAGAAGCCGTGAGAAAAAAAACCGGTCGGCTGAGGCGGAGGCAGTGTTGCGCGGAACCGCTTCAGGCACTGGCTCTCTCTTGACGCGAACAATGGACACCGGCGCCAGTAGCTTCGACGCTCTCTTCGAGGAGGCAAACGATCTCGCGAGCCAGCGCTCCTTCCGGCTTGCCGCGGCCAAATATCGCGAGGCCATCCAGCTCGAGCCGAGGAGGCCTGTGGCGCATTTCAACCTCGGCTGCGCCCTCGAGCGAACAGGAGAGACCGAGACTGCGGCAATGTCGTTCCACGCTGCCATGCAGCGATATCCTGAGGACAGCTCGCCGTGGGCTGAATCTGCTGCAGCCTCGTTCAATTGCCTCACACAGGACTATGCACCAACGCCGAGAGCGACTCCAAGCTGGTTCATGAGCGACGAAGCTCTCAAACGACTCTCATCGAGGGTGGTGGCAGCTACGTCCGACGATCCGCTCACGAAACGAGGCCGTCTTCAAGCGATCACGATGCGGGCAGCGGTCCTGGCCAGCGACGCCACGGGCTTCAAGCCTCCCTGGCCCACAGGACCGCGCACAGCGGCAGAGCTTCGAGAGGCGGCGGCGCTATTTCAAGAGGCCGCCGCGGGTGCTGGTGGCGACGGCGATCTTCAAAAGGACTTGGAGGTGCGAGCGGCAGCCTGCTCGGCCGCGTCGAGCGTGCTCCTCCCCCAGTCTGTGGAAAACAGGGCGGACGTGTCCAAGCCGAAGGCCGACAAGA